GAGAAATACACCTGCACAAGAAGAACACTCAGCTATCCTCGTGTTTCACATTCTGCACCTGCTTTTTCCTGCTGCCAAAGAGGATTGATTCATCAAGATCCTGCTACCCAGAGCCATTTCGGGTCAGAATACAGTAAAACTTCTTACAGGTTAAAGCCACAAAGGGCTTTAAATGAATAACAATGGAGGTATAAGATAAGACAGAGCCAAGCTGCTAGCAAACTTAACATATTTCATTTTAAAAAATAGCACCAAAAAGGGTCTTCAGCTGCTTTTAAGGCTCGACAGAATCAAAGCCTCCCAGTCTGCAGGCATTTTCTTTAAAAGCCCCAGCCCCTCGAGACTTAAACAGTTTTTTTTAACCACCGACAGCCTTTGACCTGCTGTCTTCAGGCTGGGAGAAGGGGTGTGGATATCTAAGAGGTCAGTAATGTATGCAGGGGCCTGGCCGGATAGGGCTGTGAACATGAGAGCTGAGATGAGGCCGGGATGGTAGCTGAAGAAGTCCTCGAGCCCCATCTATTCAAAACAGGCTGTTAAAAGGCTGTTAATAAATTAGACATAACAAGATTAAGCTTCTCCAGCTCAGTGTCTGAGTTTGTGAGGCTCTGTTGAACAGACCAGCCTAATCCACAAAGCTCTTCCCTAATGACAGGGATCAGAGTTCTAAAAAAAAGGAGATAAAATGCTATTAAAACAGATGACAACATAAGTAAAAAGCTATAAATAGCCCCTGTTTTATGCTCTGTTCACATCAGAGGGAACAGCTTGTGATGGTTTCACAGCGTTTTAGACTGGTACCACAAATCTTCTAACAAGTGGCAGGAAAAGGTTTCTTCTTTGGCCTGTTTTTTGTCCCTCCAAAGTGGCTGAAACTGTAAAGTCTGACCTAAACAGCTGTAGCTCAGACAAAAACCAATGCAACTGGCCCTGATCTTAGCTCTCTGGAGGGTTTTAGGAACCGGAATGGAGCTCCAAGAACCCTTCAGAAGCCCATCTTTCAGATGGTAGGATAAAAAAGCTCAACCTCTGAGTTTCTGGTTGGTTCTGCAGTACGTTTAGCAGCAATAATGCAAATAGCTCCATCAGAAAAAGGAAACAGCTTCAACCAGCAAATCAAACGAAGCAAATGGATCCATGTATGGATGTAATGTGTGTCAAATGTTTCGAGTGATGGGTTTCAAAGCAATATGACAGGAAACAAAATGTATCAAACATATTTTCTGATTCAAACTGTTATAAAATTAATTACAAAGCAGTAAGTTTTAGTTTTTGCTCTAAAACTTGTTCAAATGTGAATAAAACAAGTTAGCGTTGCATCAAATCACATGTCAAAGATTTTGTTTGCTAAGCTGAGAAAGCTGAGAAAATAACAGTGTTGTGGTTGATTGCAACAAAAAACGGATGGTGACATAAATCTTAGCTCAAAATTTAACTCACCTCCGCCAGTGGTTGTTTTTATACTAAGTGCTCTTCCATCATGAATTTTTAGTGTGAAATGAAAACAAAGAAAACAGAACATATCATTTTAATTAAATGTCACTTCCTCATTCACAGCATTCTGCAGGACACTTTCAGAGTTTACATCACATGCTGATCATCACATAGCTTGGCCAGAGTTTCAGCAGTTGAAGCCCTTTGGTGAGATTTCAAGTCTTTTTGAGAGGCCTGTGGTGGTTGTGAGAAGTGTAAAATGAGACCTTTGACACTGCGGAGCATGAAAGCTATCAACCTAATCATGCAGCTTTGTCTGGGTTTGCCTCCACATCCTAGAAGGCTCTTTGAGTTTTTTGTTGATTTCTGAAATGAACTGTAGAAAAAGCAGGAACTCTTTGCCCTCGTTACATTAGTTGTGCTAGGCTACAGAAACAAGGATTACAGTCAGTCGAATTCTCTCAGTAGCATCATGAGACATAAATGCAGATCCAGACTCAATCAGAATCATGCACAAAAGGTTATTGGTGAAGCATCTCTTAAAATGCATGAAGCAGGACTCAAACATTTTACAGGATGTTACACTTTCATTGCAGGTTTTGTTCACATAAACACACTGTTGAGTAGAAATATGCTGTGTAATATTACATGATGGAAGGCCAGCGGAGCCCCAAGAAAGCTTGTGTAAAGAAATATATCCTGACCTCTGACCTGTGAAACTTCACAATAAATACATTTTTTAAAAGGAGAGGAAAAGGCCAAAGAATACATTTAAATGTACACCTTCATAAAAATGTCTGTGTGACTTAAAAGATCCTTCTAGAAACATTGCGTTGTTTTTTAAATATAATGAAAATAGTTTAGAGCCATTTCAGTTTTTGAATTGTGGGTGAAAATCACTAAAACAATCACAGTTAAGTAAATGTTTTTCGTTGTTTTCTGAAACCTCTGAAACCACCTTTTTCAAATTTTTGTAAAGTGTTGCGTAAATAATAGTTTTCTAAAAGATCTCCTGAAATTATTCTTTTTTTTTAACTGAAACTTTTCCATCTTCTAAAATTTGCACTGACATGTTTCCCAATTTCTTAAAATACTGAATGAAAGTTTTAGGTCTTTTCTTAAATTTTTACTCAAATGTTTTATCTTTACAAAGATGTTTTTATAAACACTGAAGTGTTTAAATATTTTCTAAAATATAGATTTAATATTTTTCTGTTTTGTCAAATTTGACTGAAAAAGGATTTTTTTTTTAATGCTGCATTTCTTACATTGTATTTTCTTGCATATATTATTTATTAAAACTCAATTGCATATGTACAGAACAGTTGTAAAAAATGTACTACTATTTTTCAGCCATTTTTCTTTTGTCTGTAAAATGTTTTTTTTGAGGAATTTTGGCATATCAGGGCCACCTTAGAGAATCATGAGATCTTTAATTCTATCTGCAGTTGCTGCCACTTTTATTACCTTTTTGGGTCAACAAGCCTGGCCTAGTTTAACAGATTCCATTGAGTTTAATGTTATTCATGCATCATTAAATCATAAATTAAGTCGTCTCAGGACACTTAATGTTGTGATGTGTTGACCTCACTCCAAACAGAGAAATCCCTTAGGGCAAGTTAAGAATGTGGAGAAAATTCTCTTAATGACACTTTATCATGGCAGAATTTGAACGCTATATCTGCTTTTGTGGGATCGCAGATGATTAATGTCTAAAGTTCTCTAACACAACAGTTTAGGGGAAAAACAAACATAAATTAGCTTCTGCTAATGCTACATACAGGTAGCTGCTGTTTGGACTGGGGAAAACTCCATGATTTTTAACCTGGGCAGTACATACATTTATGTTATGGTTTAAATGACAGATATTTAAACCATAGATATCCTCAAACTCAGATTAAGCCGTGACGGGCTGCGTTTAAACTTCGGCAACAGCAAAGGCTGTCACAGAGAGATGACCAAAAGGCCCAGACAACATTATACAAGCGTCTGACAACATTATGCAAAGGGTTTCATGGAATATTTAACCAAGCAAGGGAAAAGCATCCTAATTTGTTTAATATAAACTCTCACTGTGTGAGTAAAACCTGAATAAATAAGCTACACATCAGATTTTAACAGTACACTAAAGAAACCTTGACCTAGATTTAGTTTGCATGCTGTTTTAATGTAAAATACACATATCAGAGGCTACAACCCTAACCCACACTTTAGAGCTTAAAAATTTTGACCAAATGCTGCATCTTTCCATTGATAGCATCATTGCAGGGATTAGCAAAAACAATTGTCTGATTGGACCAATTGTAGGGACAGACAATGACAAAACAACGCAAATAAGAGTACAAAAAAAAGTGCACACTAAATGGCTGCACTGTGTTTTTTGTTTGTTTCATTTGGTTGTGTTCTCTCCCCATTCCGATCCATTCATGATAACGAGCAAGAAACCCTCAGAAATGTTATTTATGTCTTTAAGAACAATCTGTAGAGTTTAAAAACCCTTTTACTTTCACCCAACTTTCAGTGTTCAAGGCCAGCGCATCAGAGCTGTAAAATATACATATTAGACCCTAATTAATATATTAGACTAGATCTGTGCAAGCCTGATAATGGCATGCTGGCACTAATCACTAATCAGGTGTTTCGAAGCAGGGAAACTTCTAAAACTTGCAGGGCAGCGGCCCTCGATGACCGACTTTGGACACGCTCGTATTAAACCCTAATGTTGGAGGCCTGTAGCAAATCTAAGGCCACAAACCTTCTGATAAAAAGATGCTTTGAGCGTTTTTACATGTGACAAAGAGCCTCGATTTCTCATCAGCTCTAAAAAAGTGCCTTACCTCCACACAGAACTCCTATTCTACCTTCATTTTGATTAAAGCAGCAAACAGCTGTTCCGAGGCAAAAACATTACAATTACAGTGATTTTCTTTTTTTGCAGAAAAAGCCAAATCCAAGGATTTTGGCATATTGCAGGTTTGCATACTGTTACACAAATCGAAGGCAAGCAGCTCAGAGCATTAATCAATAACTGCTGACAAACCTGAGGATGAATTACTATAAACCAGAAAACAAACAAAAATATCTCTCCAAATAAATATCATTTATTGTCTCTTAAAAATGATGCAACACGGTTGTTCAGCAGAAGACCTTCTGAAGTCAACAATCACCTTGGAAAGTCAAATTATTTCATAAATCTACTTGTGAACTTCAAGCTGTGTAAACATTTAGCTGAAGTCCCGACTGGAACCTCTCTCTGTTTTCTAGAAATCTGACTTTCATTTAAAGGTGAAGGCTTCCTCTAACAACTCTTTACCATCTGGATACCCATTTGGGGTCCCAGTCATGCACCTCTTTTAAGTATCAATGTAACTCCACCCTGAAAGGGGCTGCAGGGATGCATCAGTCAGGTGACAGATGACATATTTTTTGCTCCTCACTGGATCAAACAGCACACAGGTCACGCTGTGATTTCCTTTTTCTTTTCTTTTTTTTTGCATCTGTGGTTCTTACATAAGTGCGTGAATCATTTGACTTCAGTCTTCCTCCTCCACCAGCATCAAACTTCTTTACTCTTCATCTTGCAGCCAATAAGCAGCACCCTGCTGCAGAATCAGAATCAGCTTTATTCGCCATGTGTGACCATACAAGGAATTTGCCTCCACAAAATTGTGAGGGCAGCCTAACTGGCATCCTAAAGAAAAACTTTCCCCCAAAATCTGGCGGGGAAGTGACCAACAAGAGGCTCCACAGGGCCCCTCTCTGCGATCCGAGCAGAGGGTCCTCCGCACATGTCGCGGCAGGACATTAAAGACCAGCGCCATGCTGCGCAGCTGAGAGCGAAGTGAGCGAACAGAATCCGCCCCGGTGGCGTCTCACACCTGGCATCGGGTGTCTGTTCGCAGGCTGACGGGAGCAGGCGGCTTTTTGCCGTCCGTGCAGATGAGGCAGGAGGGAAACAGTGGGCTGAAGAGGCTACAGAGCCCTTTGCGGAAGACGCTGTTGGAGAGGCTGTAGATCAGACAGTTGCAGAAGCTGTTGCTTATGGCGAGCCATGTGGTGAGGAAGGACGCCACCATGTGGTGGTACAGCCCGGCGCTTTCTAGGAGGAAGTAGAGGATGTACGGCATCCACAGCACATAGAAGACGCTGGTGATGCGGAAGAGCACCATGGCGTAGCGCTTGTCCGTGCAGCCCTCGCAGCGCTCCCCTCGCTCGCCTTTGCCGCCGTCCGTCTGCGCGCTGAAGCGCGCGTGGCGCTGCGTGATCTCCCGCGTGTGCTGCCGGCAGATCCGAAATATACTCCCGTAGGTGAAGCAGACGGTGAGCGCCGCCGGGGCGTAGAGCAGCACCACGATGAAGGTGCTGAAACCCGGGTTGGTCTTCCACGAGTTCGCACACCACTGAAAAATGTCCCCGTGGTAGCCTGGCTTCCCCCAGCCAAAGAAGGAGGGCAGGAAAATCAGCGCGGAGTAAAGCCAGATGAGGACAATGCACACCCTCAGCCGGCAGGGTGTCACCAGGGTGGCGTAGGACAGCGGCCTGGTGATGGCGATGTAGCGGTCCACGCTGATGCAGGCCAGGGACGCCATGGAGACGCTCTTCAGCACGGACACCATGTAGCCAAACGCCTTACAGGTGAGCTCCTCGTTCAGGTCTCGGAGGTAGTGGAGCAGCGACAGCGAGGGCACAAGACAGCTGACCCCCACCAGCAGGTCGGCGTAGGCCATGGTCTGGATGAAGTGGCTGGTGGTGTGGTGGTGCAGCAGCGGGGCGCAGTGGAAGACAAAAATCACCACCAGGTTGCCGGCGATGATGAGCACAGTGAGCAGGAGGATGATGGCCACCTCCAGCATGCAGGTGTCCAGGCTTTGTGAGTAACCCACAGCACCCAGGAGGCAGAAGAGGGGAGAGCCGCTTTGGTTCGCATAGGAGGAAGAGTTCATGTTTGGGCTCGACAGGGGTGGGAGGAGGGGGCGGGTTCAGCTCCACTCGGCCGTCATCCTGTCAGCCGAGTCTCCCTTTTATTTATTTGTTTTTAAATCCTGAAGTTGCTGCTCCAGTAGCAGCAAACCTACCCGCTGCTCCTCCTAAATCAGCATCTTTTGTCCCTCAGCGGTCAGGGCGCCTGTCCTTAAAAACGCAGTGATCCATGGGCGCACCCAAAACGCAACCGGCTCTGCCTGCATGAGAGCAAAGAAATGCCAACCTTGGAAAAAGAGACGCTGTCCTCCCCAGAACTCCCGCTGCCTTTCATGCCCCCCTCCCTCATCTACAGATCCTGAGGTAAGCGCTCTGCTCCAGGAGGAAGACGGCAAGAAAAACGGCAGCCATCCGCTTCCAGCCTGGGAAGCGGCTCAGAAGGCGTGAAACAATGGTCTCCGGACCCAGAGCACAGGACTCCTGTGGAAGGATGTGTCCACACGTGGGGGCTGAAGCCAGAGCGCTGCAGAGGCGTGGATGCATGCGCTTGTGTGGGGAGATAGTGAAGAGCCTCTCCCCTCTGCTGTAGTGGCCGAGTAGTGATGATGCAGCGCTGCCAAAGCGACTTTCCTCTCCTCCCCCTGCTCGCTTTCTCCCTCCCTCACTCCCTTACACACACACTCTGTGCTGCCCCCCCCCCCCCCCCGACTCTCTACACACACACTTGAACCCATTTTTACTCCCGTTCCCTTCCTCCATTTTCTCCTCCTGATTGTCCCCCACCCCCCATTCTTTCCCAATCTCCTTGAATTTTTTACGTCTTCCTAAGTGGGTTTTCGTGTAACCCACTGATTCATGTAGCTTTAGCATATTAAGCTAAGCTACCAAATAGGATGGGCTAAATAAGAGGGATCTCACCTTTAAAAAGAGCAGAAGTGGCGTCTGTTATCCTGCTGATGTTCCACCTCGCAGTCATTTTCTGCACTGATTCTCACTCTAGTCTGAAACCAAATTGAAAGCAAACAGGATTTATACTTTTTTCAAATGCTCCCCCTTAAAACCAGGGGTTAATCTCAAAGGAGTTGCTTGACCTAAAAGTACTTAGAAATGGCCAACGAACATGCTAACTGAAGTTAGCATCAGAATCTGTGTAAGTATGCACGTTTCTGCAGCCTCAGCATGGACTTTATTTATTTTTGGGTGTCAGACTTGACAAACTGTAAATAACAATCTAAATAACAATCTGTAATTATTATTGAGATATCTGCCCCACCCCCCACCCCAATCCTTCCCCCCTTCTCAGAACTAAAAGAGTTCAAATGATGGCAGTTTCTCAGTGTTTGCACTTGTCTAGTCGTCGGTTTCAGCCTCCTTCTGCTCCAGTTCAAAGTTTGTATCGATAAAAGTTAAAGTTCCCTAGATGTGTCCTTTCTCCACCCATTTTCACAGGATGCATTTGGGTTGGCTTGTGTGGACTTTAGTCATCCTACCATCCCTTTTTAAGCACTTATCTTGTCGTTTAACTCCTCCAAATCCTCCAGTTTTCTAAAAAAACTGGAGAAAGTCACACATGTATGATAACTTGAGTTAGCATCAGATTCCGTAAAAATCCGCTCATCTGATCTCGTTTCTGTAGCCTCAACATAGACTTTGTGTGACTCTGGATGTCAGATTTGTTGTGGACTTACTGTTTTCCTGAGGACTTTAACTGGAGCCTTTAAACCAAACAGGAGCATTTTTGTTTAAGTTGGATCTGTTTTCTGAACACTCTGAGACTTTATAGGTGTGTTCTATCATTTTCTATGTGCGTCTACCAGAAATTGCAGGAAGAAGAAGACCAACACAGAAATGGGTAAAGCTTTGAGAATGGAAACCTCACTGCTGATGTCTTCCTGTGATGGCGTCCATTCCCACCACATGTTCTATCACCTGAAGTTGACCGCAGAGCTGTGAGCTATGCGCTGCCCTCTGGTGGGAAATAAAGCCAGCAATCTGCTGAAACAGACAACCTCTTTCTGCACAAAAATAGTTAGATTTTACCGTGAGCATGGCATAATTCAATATTACGCACCTGAAAGGGTCACATTTGGCTTTGTTTGTTGTGTGAGGATAGACATCGAGGACACACTCTTCAAACAAAAAGGTAAAATTACACTAAATAAAACCCTGAAGGGTAACAATATGTTACCATTACCTGTGAAGGTAAATATGTACCAACATTAATGTGCTTGAATAATGAAATACAAGACGTGGCTAATTTGGCAAAAGCCACTTCTCATTCAGTATGATTTCTTAATAGCCAAATTGCAGCAACGATTCAGTCCAACTCAATCCCATTAGAATCCAGTTCAATGTCGTTCAATCGTAATCCTGACAATTAAGTCGGAGTCAATTAACAAAAAAGTTTCTCTTTGGAAACAACATATTGTTTTGAGACTTCTCTTTAGTGCTCCTTTGGCAACTGTGGGAGGAAAAGTTTCCTTTGAACTGGAAGAAACCTCAGTCAGAACCAGAACCATCTTTCTGACCCAGCTGGCAATAAAGACGTTTCAACCAGCCTCATGACACCAGGCCAGAGATACCTGCTGAGAAACAAGCCTGGGCTCAGCAGTCTGGTCATATAGCAGCAGAGGGAGGAGAGGTGCCTCATGGGAGCCCCCAAGCAGAACTATGGGGTGTGTCAGCGTCCCTGAGCATCTGTAACTATCAGCTTTATCCAAAAGGAAAGTCTGCAGCCTGATCTTAAAGGTAGGGAGGGGGGGGGGGGGTCTGCTGAACCCAGACTGGTTCCTGGAACCTGATACTGTACCTGAAGGCTCTGCCTCCCATCTGCTTTAAAAACTCAGGAACCATCTGTTTGCTTCTGAAACAAGAACAAAGTGCTGCTCAAATTTAAAGAGCGCATCAAGATGACTATGCTCAACATTCCCATTTTTATACTTCTGAGGTGACTTGTTCAGTCTTCAGAAAGCCTTCCATTCCCGCATGCACAGCATTAACTGGACATTAAAATGGACATCAACGCAGTCCATTTTAGTGTTTTTGCTACAATTTTTTTGTTAGTCTAGTTGCGATAACATTAACGTCTTTAATGTAATGATTTATGCTGCTGTTCCAAATGGACAGTTCATCCTCAGAAGTTTGTAATTCCCACAAATCCTTGCTGGTAAGTACACAAGTAAATTTGCGTAGAGAGACGAACCTGCAGGCTAAGAGCAAACAGCACCGTTCAGAGCTCCCCCATTTGGCCGCTGAGAAAATACTGACTGCTTTCCTTTTTTCTATATCTGCCCTGCTGTGGGAGAGCTGTACCATCACTGACCTCCAACAAGAGGAAGTACATCGGCCTTCGATCTCCACCAGCCACCAGTTTGACATTAGAGGGCAGATTGGATGCTATTAATGGAGGCAAAAACTAGATAAATACCACCAAGTGATACATATTTAGTCATCGTTCTTCACTTGTTAATCACTTGTGTATATATATATTCTCACACCTTTGTGGACTTTTTTTCTTGTGAAGTTTCTGTGAGAAATCAACACACGAGTGTAGCTTTTTCCAGAGGTTCCCCTACTTTCTGCCTTTATAAGTGACACAAATTCAGCTTCTTTTTGTTCAATCCGTCGCAGTGTTCTGCAAGCTGGTGCATTATTTCTCATTTTTACCTTTGCACTTGGTGTGTGACTTTCATATCATTTTCATGACCCTTAAAAAAAGAACAACAAATACAGGCTGTGTTGCATCCCACATCATTGGCCAGCCGTGTTGTCTCCTGATTCACAGCACCAAACCACAGCATCTCCTGTGTTGGCATATGGAGCGGCGGCACTGACAACATCTTCCCTTCCAGGCTTTTGCTGGGACACAGACGCCACTCAGTCTGTTAGTATTTCAGAATCCTGTTTCTCTCAACGTAAATGCTTTTTATTTTCAGCCAAAGGGTGAAAAGTGCCACATCTGCATGACTTGTAAAGCTGAACAACTCAACAAGCCATCACTTGTCTGCTGTTATTAATCATTAACGTGAGGCCACCGCATCACCAGCAGCAGGGAAGCCGACAAAAGGCTGACTTGTGACTGGAAAGGAAAGTGAGGGATGGGGTGTTTGCCACAAAAAAATAGGATGACCTGAGGGTCACTCCTCTGCAGAATGTAGGCCAAATACAAAGATAGGTCCCACAGATTTGATATCCCAGTTTTAAATGGTGAATGGGTTGAAAATGATCTCTCTAATCAAAAACAACAATGATAAAATGGGAGATGTGAAAATCATGTTGATGCTCTGTGGCTTCCTCTCTGGTTCCTGCATAAGTTCCTGATCAGACAAGCAGGATTTGATGTGGATGCAGATGCATTCATTGCTCTGCATGCATTTGCTTTGAAAAAGTCTGATTCACATAACACTGGAAATCAGTGGCGGGCCGTGCATTTTACACCTAGGCCTTCAGTAGTGCTCCGTCTGAATCAATTCACCCCTCAATAACTATTTTATGGTTATAGAAATCATCTTAATATGTAGAAATACAGTAGGGATGTCCCGATCCAGCTTTTTGTATTAAAGTTGATTTTTTTTTTCTACTTACTTAGTTGTCAGACTCATGTTGAACAGGGATTTACTCTTATAACAACTAAAGTTTACACAGACCTGTGGGTTAGGAGATGCTAATGCTAACGCTCGGGTGGGATCGGACTTTAAAAAAAAATGTATCTGGAGTCTCGATTGGCATTTTCTCATGCCGGCCGATACGATCCAAATATCGGATCAGGATCCTAAAATACAGTATAAAGATCAGGGGTGCACCTTCTACTCCTGCAGCTACAGCTGCAATCCCCCCCCCAAAAAAAACAAAACAAAACAAAAACATCAATAATGTCATCATAAACTCGCAATACCATTTAGGAAATGAACAACATTTTACTCACTTACTTTTCTTGAAAAGTCCGTTTTGAAAATGGTCTTGACAGTAAATCCGCCACGAAATAATAAAATAGCTATTACACTAACTAACACAACTATATTTC